GGGTACCCACCTGGTAACTACCAACGTGAAACTGTCCCTGAGTCCCCCAATATTCACCCACCCCTCCTAATATCAAACTGTCGCATTGTGGTATACTATGATGCATTGAAGATGTCTAAGACTGGGGGCTTGGGTCTTTTATATTGGGGGGAAGGGAACATGATTCGAAGGGTATGGATTTCGAACTTGGATGCTGGCCCGTGAACTCTCCATCTCAAACCCGACGTCTGAATGCTGCATCCTCAGTAAAACCCTCTCCCGGGCCGCTTCTTGATCTTTTGGATAGAATGAGGGGTGTAGAAAGCATGCCCAATACAGTTTTAGGTTTCAGGGTTAAGACCACCATCCCTAGAATCCATACCTCAAGCGCCCATTCAGGAATACAGAGTGGAACATAAGATGCTAGGATCCCTAGCATGTTTCAAGCGACATGCCCAAATTTCGAAGTATTGGGCTTCTTCGGACCTTGCTCTGCTCAACACCAAAATAAGGTTCTACAGAATCCTCCATAGGGACCCTTGCTTTGGAGTCACAACAGAGGGACCCCCAACCCAAATCATATTGCAAAACCTAAGTCCAAAACCTGTAACTCTGCAACCTAAGCATTAGCTCTAAACTTCAATCAAATCAAACACCAAAGTGAGATTGTAATCGCACACGCAGGCAGACTGCCGATCCTTCAGCGCTCTTCTGATGTATATCATGTCTGACGCCTTCGCCTGCAAGGCACCAGCCAGCAGCCTATACTGCCCCAAAGCTACCATGCAAGCCATATAGCTTCCACGTTTAGTGTACAGAGTCTACAAAGGGCTCTTGTTCACGTTCCATGTTAGTTTCGGGGAGCGTAAGCCCCATGAATGGCTAGGGCGAAGGGTTGGGGCTCTGGGGTCACATTTATTTAGAGTCTCAGGCCCTAAGCCCTAAATCCTCAACTCTGAACCCTGAACCCTAAGTCTCAGGTTGTGGTGTAGGTTTTTGGGTTCAGGGCTCAGGCATTGGTTTAAAGGTTTAGGCTTAGGGTTGCAGATGCAGAAATCGCACGCTCAATTACGAGAGGCTAGCTTCCTTTCTTTTGGTTAAGCGTCAGCCTCGATATAGATAGTGCCTAGAGAGTAGGGTGGCGCATGACGTGTACTTGTAACTTCCGTAAGCGGGATAATAACCGCAGCTATCTCCATCAAGAACTTACTCGCTAAGTCCCCCTCCACACATGGGATCCCCGAAAAGATGCGCCCCTTCAGATCCCCTGCGCTACAAGGCCTACTGGCGGTCAAGTAGGCAATGGCATAAATCGGTATACTGGTCCCCATCCTTCTAGCCGAGTATGTAACCCGTAACCTTTCTACTCCATTTTTTCATTCCCTACTAGCTATTTCCCACAGATCACCAGTAGAAAGAGGGCAACCGTTGAGTTTGCGTTGAGCACCTGGCCATAAGGTTTTCTGTAAGATCCCCACCCAAGTAGGCCATCTGAGGCAAACCCCTCAACCCCGTGCACAAGCTAAGAGGTAAGGCTTGGCTTATGGGGTCATAACAAGAAGATTAAGCATTGGGACGTTAAATTCCTACAGTCCATACTATACACCAGATTTTGGTGCTTCAGTCAGTCAGGAGTACGTAGTATTAAATTATGCATACTTGAAATCCTGTAAGACATATCATATATCTAACCCAGTCATCCGCATCACTAACGTACTTAGCAAGTCCATTGACCCTCCCGGCAAGCAAGGGTGACACCGTCTTTGCGTTCTCCGTGCGGCGGCTGGCGGACAGATACTATGTCCGCGTTACAGGCTCTTTTTATGCCAGGGATGCTCCAAAGGTTTTTTAGGTTCCCCCTAGAGGGATAAGCACTAAGATTTCTACCAGCACTTCTGTATTGTGGGGGCCCTCGAGCAAGGAATTTCAAAGCAAAGAGATTCGGACATTATGAAAGATACGGATGGATGCAGCTAGTAACATTATCAGGACGCCATTCACCAAATTAAGTACCATAATGTTATTATTATGGTAGTGTAACTTACGCTCCAGCATCCCAGGATACGGGTTGATAAGTCCTAAACTCTAAGCCCTAAACCCTAATCTGGCCCTAAACAGCAACCTAGGATACAGATCGATAAGCCCTAAACCCAAAGCCTGAACCCTAAACCCTGAACCCTGAACCCTGAATGCCAAACCCTGCACCCTGAACCCTAAACCCCTATACCCTAAACCCGAAACCCTGAACAGCAACCCAGGATACGGATTGATGCAATTGGTTGACAAAGTCGAGGAAGAGCTGGAGGGACTCTCGGCCAGAGCTGGGGGGGGCGGGGGGTGAACATCCTGGTACCCGGTTTCGGGTTTAGGGTTTGGCTTGATGGGTTCAAGGTCCTGAGGCTCCATTTACGTACTAGTTAACAGATATTAGGGCCCGATGTAGGTATTATTCATACGGCTTTAGCCCCAGGGTTAGGTAGATAGAGTAAAGAGTACATGGAGATCTTATTATGATATTGGGCAGTTCCATGTTCTATCTACTTGAGCGGGACTGTAGGCTTGAGATTTGAGAGTTGATGGACGAATCTCCGAGTAAAGATGCGTACTAGGACTCCTGCCCTTGAGGCATATAGGGTCATGCAGGACTTTTGTTGTCCATCAATAGGAGGTCCTCAATAGGGCTTACAAGGGGATATACCGAATGTGTGCGTAGTTTTGGGGTTGGTTGAATGGGTTGGTATCGTAGGACTGTTTTTAGACAGTCAAGTCAGGGGCCGGAGATACGAATTTGTCTCAACATTCGGAGGACGTGGCCTGAACAAGGCTTCTTTTTGTTTCGTGTTTGAATGCATTTCAAGAATGCCAAAAAAGAAGAAAGAAACCAACAAGCCCCATTCCTGTTGTATCTGTGTCTTATGGTCCTCCACGCCACCCAAGCGCCTCTGCACAAGTCCTGTCTGAACTTGCTAGACACCCACGCGTTTTAGGGTTTACGGTTAAGGGTCTAGGGTCTATGGTAGCATAGCCAGACAAGGCGGAACGCTTTCCAAGTGCTAGGGGTTTGTTCCGCTACCTGGGCTGGTCCCCACAGCCATTAATGACCACCATGAGGAACGATGGTGATTATGTAGGGGCTTTGCCATATCCCTCTTGTACCATTATCAGCCTGAATCTTAGAACACCAACCCCCAAGCCCCCTAAACCCTACATCCTCATTTCAAAGCATGCCCTAAACCCTAAGCCTCCCTGACCCTAACCCCTACACCCTAGATCCTTGATCATGAAGTAGCTCCCATGTTAATTCCCATGCCCATTCCTTACTTAGTCCCTCTAACCCCAACATCCGGACACAAAGTTTGCATTGATTCTCCGCGCTTCTACTTATTCAGGCCACAAGCACTAATACCAATATCGAAATCCCACATACCCTACCGACCCTAAACTCTAACCATATCACCCTAAACCCTGCACCCTACCCCTTTTTTCTAAACTTTGAACCCGCTACCTTGGAGCCTAGACCTTAAACCCTACACCATATATGGTAGTTTTCATGTTCTTTTGCATTGCCCCCCCCCCCCCTATAACTCTTTATAATCCGTTAACGGTGCTAGACCCCAAGCCCTAGACCCTAGAAACCCTAAAACCCTGAAGCCCTAAATCCTGATACCCTGAAAAACGCTGAAAGACTAACTCCTAGAAACCTTAATACTCCTAACCGCCTTAAACATCTTAAGAAATCTAAAAGCAGGCATGCTTTGCAGTGACAATGTGCTTTCCTTCCTTGGCCAGGCGATGTTTTCACTGCTCGGGGCTTAGGGTTTAGGATCTAGGGTTTAGGATTTAGGGTTTAGGATCTAGGGTTTCGGGATTCAGGGTTGAGGGGTTTGGGGTTTCGGGTTTAGGGGGCTAGGGCTTTAGGGATTAGGGGTTCAGGAGTTTAGGGTTTAGGGGTTCAGTGTTTAGCAGTTGAGGGTTCGGGATGTGGGGGTGAGGTAGGGATACTTCAGGTCTTCAGGCTTCAAGGCTTCAGATTTAGGACTTAGGATTTAGGGTGTAGGGCTTAGGACTCTGGGGTTCTGGATCACTGATTGTGTATATGTCTCTTTCGGATGTTGGCGAAAGTAGATGTAGGGTGTCCCATCATGGGAGACGATCAACTAACAAAAGTACAGGGGCTAGATACTTGACCCCTTGAGCCTAGATCCTCAAGCCTCAAAGACCTCTTTATTAATGTTTATAACCCATACAACTGGAGGTAATTGATTTTACAGGAAACCTTTAAAGGTACCCTATATCCCCTATATCCCCTATAAAACCCGCTTTAAAGGTACCTTTATATCCCCTATAAAACCCTCTATAAAGGTACCCTATATTGCTTATAAAGCTCTCTTTAAAGGTACCCGATATCCCCTATAAAACCCCCTTTAAAGGTACCCTCCCTGAACCCCAGCAGGTGGTTGGAACCGGCGGCCGCCTGGAATCTGCCTGCTTGGAGAGCCCTGGCTAGACAAGATTTTTCTTACTAGTAGGGCAATTAGGTCCCCTTTAAAGGGTGTATAGGAGACACTTCGGGTTCAGGGTTTAGGGTTTCGGGCCGAAGGGTTTAGGGGTTAATGTTGAGAGGGTTTGGGACCAAAGTTTGGAAGTTGTAGGATTTGAGGGTTTGGGTTTACAGTTTGTAGGGCTTTCGGGCTCCTACATAAATTCCCCCCAGCTAGGGTCCCTTCTGAACTGCAATCCCTAGCATCGCCCCTATAAACCCTAAACCGCGCTTTAGGGTTGCTAGAGAGCTTAACAGGGTTATATCGAGTCTAAGGTGAAAACTATGGGTCCTAATCTGGGCCCTTAAACCTTTAGGGGGATTCTAGAGACGCTCAGGGGCACA